TTGCAGGACATCCACCATTTGATGATAGAGCACATGATGTTCATTTGCAATTAAAAATATGTGAAGGTTTACGACCAACAATATTACCAGGAATGCCTGATGATTGTACACAAATGATGCAAAGGTGTTGGGATGTGGATCCATCAAAAAGACCAACTATTGTAGAGCTTGATGAATTTGCTCATAATAAATCAAAGGAAATTTATGAAGCAAAAAATTTTAATGAAACTAGCAGTGGTGGTGGTAATAATGATAATAATTCACAACAAATTCACCAACCACATCCATTAGCATATCATACAAGTAGAATATTAAATGATGTAAATGATGTAAATGATGAATTTGCTAAATCGAATTTAAGTAATGATAGCTTATTAAATTATGTAATAAGGTAAGTTTAATGGTTAGCTAATTAATTGAAATTTATTAATTACAATGATAAAAGTAGTTGATAAGGTTAAAAGTTAGAGAATTGGGGTGAATTGTTGATGGGTAGATAATCACTATTTATTAATTATTTTTTCATGTGTAAATTTTTAAAACAAACTTTACTTTTAATAAATTTTATATGTCCCATTAAAACTTTGTTGGTTGTAATGTATTTTACAACACTCTGATATCAATCATAAATGAAATAGACCTTTCAAGTGACTCTGAAAGCAAAAGCGAATGTATACAAACCATCATGTTTTTCAGTGAGTGATGATCAGGGCTGGAAATAGGGTCTGAAAAAAAAAGGAAGTTCCTCCTGAATGCTAAAAATTTTCCAGAAGAAAATTTTTTGGGTGCTAAAATTTCTTTACTTTATTCTTCTGTTTTTACTTTGAAAAATTTTACTAAGAGCATCACTAAAATCATAACCAAATAAATCAGTACCTTTTAAACCAACCATTATTAATATGTGCAATATGTCATTTTCCATTACATTACATTTTATAATATTCTGTTTGCTAAAACCTTTTTCACAATCTACACTAGAAAATTGAATTGAGTGCACTATTTCTATAAGTTTTAAGATATAAATAAGACTTGGAAGTTTGGAAATTGGAATATTTTTTTTTGCCATCCAGTAAATATTAATTATATGTTTGTTACCATTATTAATGGCCTTTTTGGAAGAATCATGCATGGAGTAGGTAACAATATATATATATTGTTACCTACTTACGATTAGACTGTTACCTACTTATAGGTATATTGCTACCTACTTATTTTATAGCTACTCATTTTGACCTCTAATAAGCTTGTTATTTGCTTCCTTTTAATGATTTGATGATATGTAGATTGCATTTATATTGCCATTTAAGAGCTACTGAGACATGTGCCAGTGTGGCATGCGTTTTGCTTTTGCCTCGTCATTCGTATGCTGGTTTGATGATTGTGGCCGATTTCTACTATTAGGCTACATGGGTAAAAAATATATCTGACGATGCATTCAGCCATATATCATCATTTGTGGGCCCGATGTGAGGGCTATGCCCGAACCTGGCATGTAGTGCCTTAGCTTTCTAGTCAATTCCTCGATTAGGGCCAAAGTTGAGGCACATAGTGCCGAAATAGTATTCGTGACCTAGCTTTGTATGATGTGTTCGAATATCAATCAAGGATGAGGCACATAGTGCCGAATTGTTATCCTATCTGGTGATACCTCAAAGCATAATTTTATATTATATATCTTTCTGTAATAATTTTTCCTTGGGGTATCACTTTTTTTCAATACCTATTTGTATGTAATCCCAAAGCATAATCTTATATATCTATATTTCTGTAGTAATTATTCCTTGGGGTAACATTTTTTTGAAAACTTTGAGATAACACTATATTGAAAACTTTGGGATATCACTATATTGAAAACTTTGGGATATCACTATATTGAAAACTTTGGGATATCACTATATCGAAAACTTTGGGATATCATTATCAAACATGTATCAAAAAACGTGAACACTATTTATAATCAGAAAATGAAACTTTGGGGTATCACTAATTCGAAAACTTTGGAGTATCACTTTTTTTGATATCTTGAAGTATTATTTTTATTGATACCTAAATTAGGCAACACAAAAATGGTTATCGAATACGTACCTTATATATCAGAAGTATTAATTTTTTATTTGAATTTTTTCTCATATTAATTGTAAGAGGCGACAAAAATCCCTTTACCTGAGATGAATGACTAGTTACATGTAGCAATCTCTCTGCTTCAGAAATTACTACTTAACTAGATTGTATTATCTTAAACAACAGTTACGCATATTCAATGAGGGCCAAAGAGCGGGTTTTTAATTCTTTTTTGTATGGAGTAGTAGGAACTTTCATTTTAGCTTCAAACTTCTGCTTATAATCCAAGAAATCCGCTTCACTCATACTCTCGCGCTCTTTTTTCTTTTTTTCTCTCAAGTTCGAAAAAAAAGTGATACTCCAAGGTATATTTAACTAATTTTCATTGATTATTTTTTTCAAATAATATAAATAAAAGGCATATTCTATAGCACTATTTATATCTAAAGAAATCGATTCTTCATCACTTTGAAGAAATTTTATAAGCTTTGTTTTTACGTCATTTTCAATTTTTTGCCAATTTGGATTGATATTATCTTGAGAACTCATTTTGTATAATAACTGTTTCATATAATTTTTAAGAATTAATAAATTTATTTAACTTCTATTTTTTCTTCATTATCCGACGATCCACATATCCCGTAACCGATCACTTTTCCTCTTCAATCCCCATGTGCGTCTCAATATAACAATAACCGCAATAATTAACAGAATAAGAAAAATATATGCCAATAGCGGTGACATTAACGTACTTCTCATAATAGGGGTCGCTCCTATTCCTCCTATCGGAAGAGGCAAAGCCTCGGGACCAGGCCCCATCTGGGTATTCGATTCAATCAAAGAGGACACATTATTTTCCGGCTGTGCAAGGTAAGTAGACATACTCGGTATTTCTTGGAGTATATTGTTGTTAGTTTCGCTAATATCGATTTCATCAATTACCTTGGGAATAATCTCGGTATCATTTTTTGATAATTCGGTAATCTCACCATCGATTTTTTCTATTGGATCCATATTTTTTCCACGTATAAAATATTTACTGAGATCAGTACTACCCAAAGATATATTATCAGACTTAGTAATATTTTTTTCGTCATTCCCACCAACTAAGGGTTTCGATATAGCCTCCGATTTCAGACACTCAAGTTCACTGACTTTTGAAGCTAACTCATGTTCTACTTCAGCTATTTTAGACTTGAGGAATAATGTCTCGGATTCTTTTTTCAATGAGTCATTTTGAATCGAAATCACATCTTTCTGGGCTGAAGACAACTTACTTTTCAATATATCGATCACAGACTCGAGTGATTTGATTTTCTTGGATTTTGTAACATTCTCAGCCTTGGATTCAGCAAGAGAAAGATCTTTACGAA